GTGTAAGATTTTCTGTGTGCACATAGGTAGTAGGCAGTTCATGTGTACACAACAACAAATCCTTCATCTCCTCTCAGTTCTTTCTTTGTAGCATCCATTGCGCTGTACTGACATCTGTGATTAGCAAGGCAGATTTGACTGGGTGTCTCCCTGCCTGTATCTCAGCTGTATGCCAGTGACTGTGCAATGGAATTATCATGCTTCACACTGCCTGGTGCCTGTCAGGTCTTCCCACCTCCCATGTAGGACTGTGAGCAAGCAGCCCCATCCCACTGTTATTAACTCTTTCATGGCATATCAATGATACCAGTGAGCTCTGGTCTCTAGCACAGACACCACACTATCTACCATCCATGTCAACAGTAAAATCTTCACTCCAGAACACAATTAATTTTCCAGTATGCATGCTAGTAGTGAATTCTGCACTCCAGGCCACACACTTCCATATTTACCAACAGTCCTGGATTGCCAGAGTTGTTTGTTCAGTTGCCCTGCTTCAAAAAATGTCCTGGGGTGTGTCCTGAAAATGAATTGCATATGAATGAGCATCTGGGGTCATGACTCATTAATATGAACATCATACAGTTTATTTATGTGCAAATCCACTGACTGGTTCCTATGCAAATTCCTTGGCTCATTCATGTGTTTGCATATGGCGAAGGGGTAGGAAAATACCTACTTGCAGGTCCTGATCTGGCACAGGAGAGGAGCAGTGAAAGAGCTGGTGGGTGGGAGAGAGGTGAGATCCTGCGCACCCACACTTTTCACATACACTACTACTCACACGCCACACCCCATTATCAATCTAGTCTTATCTTTGCTCCAGATTCATAAACCACCCTCCAATTTGCCATCCCTCCACTTGCAACGTGCTTTTTTATATTTTAAATGCATACCAGGAAAGAAGTACTTTAATAAGAAGCTTGATTTAAGAAAGAGGCACCTGAAGTAAATATGATGACAGTATACAAATGGCAGATTAATAATGATTTAATTACACAGATATACACAGGAAACCCTGAGTCCAAATCCGACATACAATAAATAGTCCCTTTTAACAGTCACATAGGGTGTATGTGCTATAAGATCTCCAAATCCAAAGGTTCTCACTGTCTCAACCATTCAAATCTCCCAATTCACATGTGGCATAAACATGTGCACTCATTTTTTCTCCTTTCTTATGCAGGCCGTAGACAGATCGTTTATCGGCTGATTTTACGTCCGAAAGAATAATCGGCGATTTTCGCACTGTTAGTGGGGCAATGGCATCGACCAATTTTTGCAGTTCCTCCTCATTTCTTTTATCAGTCATGCTGGAAAATTGATGAAAAATGCCCGATTTTCGCAATCATTGGTGGCCACATCAGTTTACAGAACGAATGATGTTTTGTTTTTCGGAACGAAAAATCAGCCAATAAACGAACCGTCTATGGCCTGCATTAGAATAGTGTCCTTTCATAGAAGTGCCACTAATGAGCCAACTGATCCACCATGTGACAACAATCACTATCCATTATCCTTACTCTTACCCTCCAATACAAAAATCCTCGCTTCTATATAAAAAGAGAGTCTTGTAAATCTCTTCCTTTTCTTTCTCTTCTTTACTTCATAATGTGATACCTCCCAAAAAAAACAAAAAACATATAGTGTATTACTTCCAATTAGATACGGAACAATGGTGCTAGTGTGCTCACACTCTTACAATCAATGTGATCACCATAAACCAGTGCTCAGTCCACCTTTGGTGCCCCACTACCTTGCGGCTCATGCACCTTACCAGTTCCTCCTAGGTCTGGAGCATAGTAATCTCATAGACCACCACTGCGCCTCATACATCGCCTCTATTGCTGGTTTTCCATGCCAATGTTATCCATATGCAACCAAACCAAACATAGGCAGACCATAGTGTAGCAAAGTAAAACAAGCTGGTTTATTTAATAAAAGAGCGCTTATAATGACTAAAACAACATCAGTATATATTCAAAGGATGTACATCCTTTGACAAAGTCATAATGATGAAACGTGTCAGGGAGTGAAGTCAGATGCAAACCGGATGTGCAGGTATAGGTCTGATTCAGGTTTTGTATGCTGGCATTGTTTTATTCAATGTAAGTGCTTTTTTTCTTTAATAAACCAGTTTGTTTTAATTTGCTACACTATGTCTGCCTCTCACATTGGGACATCCAGCTATAGGGGTAGGAAAAGAGGAGCTACCCATTTTAGGATGGAGGTGGTGAGATCTAATACTCCACTTTCTTACACTGTTTGGTCATATTTTCTCTGATTGGCCTGCACTTAGAGCCACAATATTACTGATCTCTGTATATGTGTATGTTATATACTCCTGACCCCTGCACAGTGCATGCTACTGTATGTAGCATGTTATACTCCTGATCCCTGCACTATATATGCTATGTTGTATACTATACTCCTGACTCCTTCACTATATACAATATATGGTAAATTATACTCCTGATTCTTGCACTCCTTTCTCTATGTTGTACATTATATGCCTGACCCTTGCACTGTAAACGACATGTTGTACATTATACTCCTGGCCCCTATACTCCATTCAGTATGTTGTACATTATACTCCCATCTCATGCACTGTATATGCCATGTTGTGCATTATACTCCTGACCCCTGCACTGTACATTATAATAATATTATTATACAAAATTTATATTACCAGTGGGATTGGGATTACAATTAAATTAAATTAGGTGCATAAACAATGGAGTTTAGTTTTATGTGCATATATTTTTTTTTCATTTACATTTTTCTTTTTAAATTACTTGTACATAATAGACACTTTTGCTTTAAAATGTGTTTACCCCCTTCAAAAGCTAAACTTTTTAAGTAAAATATAATTGAAAATTGTAAATTGAATTTAACAAGTTAACTAGAATAGGACTGAGTGAGGGAATTTGCACCCCATTCTAGGGCCAGTAGAACATTATTATTATTAGTAATATACAGGATTTATATAGCGCACATTACCCAGCGGTTTGAAACATTGTATTCAACAGTTTGCACAGCACTTTACATAATGAAGGTAGACATTACAGTTACAATACAATTTGGTACAGGAGGAAACAGAGGGCCCTGCTCGCTAGAGTTTACAATCTAAGAGGAAGGGTTGAGTGATACAAAAGGTAATAGCTGTGGAGGAGATGAGCTGATGGAGGAAATTAAAGGCAGTTTACTAGATAGAAGCAGGATAGGCTTCTTTAAAGAGAAAGGTTTTCAGGGGTCGTCTAACGGTGGATAGATTAGGAGACAGCCGGAAGAGTTCCATAGGATGGGAGATGCACGTGAGAAGTCCTGCAGTCATTGGGAGAGTGGAAGCCAGTGGAGGGATTGGCAGAGAGGGGTAGCAGACACTGAACGGTTGGTAAGGTGGATGAGCCTGGCATAATATATTTTGGACTAGTGGCCCTCAGTGAGAACACTACACCATTCAGATTGAAATCTGAGTGGGACCCACAGTCATTGAAAGCTGTTGGGCATTATATGGCTATCTTCTTTCTGGTCAGACCTTTGATCATAGTGCCTAGTTTTCCAGCGTCAATGTACTTTGCAGTTCTGAGATGTTATGTGACTAAATGTTGAGACCTGAAAAAGAAGCCAGTTGGAAGAAAACAAAACTTGTAATGTTGTGACAATTTATTAAACATAGGTAAAAAGGTACTATTTTTGACATGGAATTTTATTCATCGTTTCATTTAGGTGAGCAGCAATCATATTTTTCAGCTCAAAATACTTATTACAATTCATTTTTCATCCTCTTTTGTAGCATATATATAGATATGGAAAGGTATAATATGGTAAAACACAGTAACAAACACCCACCTTTCACCATCAATCATTGTAGCACTGAAACACACTGGGGATTATTTATTAAAACTGGAGCATGCAAAATCTGGTGCAGCTCTGCATAGAAACCAATCAGCTTCCAGGTTTTATTGTCAAAGTTTAACTGAACAAGCTGAAGTTAGAAGCTGATTGGTTACTATGTACAGGTGCAACTGATTCTAAAGTGCTCCAGTTTTAGTAAATCTCCCCCACTGTGTGCTGCACTTTCATTAGCCTACAGCACACTTTCCCTACCATGAAATGGCAAGTTGGTTGTGTCTACCTCCCAGGTCAAAAAGATTTGGAACTGAATCTCTAGCCTGGCTAATCAGCTCTACACCTTGGTGATAAGATCCTCACCAGCTAATGGCAGAAATTCCGCTGGTACAGAGCCAACCTAAACTGAACTGTATGCACCATATCCTTTCAACAAAAAATACTTGATTGCCAAATGCAGTTATTGTTAGCAAATATTTCCTTCCAGTTTGTTTATAAAAGATCAATATACCACTTCCATTATGAAAACAAATATATCCTATGAATTTCACAGTCATGGGTATCCAAATGTGTGAAAAAAATATTCAGAATTTCAGATTATCAGCCAACCTACAATTGCTCCTAGCATGATTCATAAAAGAACCATGCTTCACATTCTAATTTATGTACATGTGTACAAAATGTTCTAAATCACAGATGGCCAATTCATTTTTCCAGAGTGCCACATGAGAAGCTAGGACTGTTGTGGAGGGCTGACTTAACCACCCTCCACCCGCCATTTAAGGAAATGACGGGAGAGCGGAATTTTTCTTGCTCTGGGAGGATGTCATATGACGTCCTCCCACTCTAACTGTGCATGTGTGGCCCCTGGGGTGTGCGGTCCGGCAATCAGTGGTACGCTGATTCCTTGGGACACAGCAGATCACCAATCACACTAAAGAGCCGATGATGTCGGTTCTGCCATGTGATTAGCTGTGTCCAATCACAGTTGATCTCATGTAAACAAGGAAATGCCAGTTATAGGCAGTCCTCTCCTCAAGCTGACAGTGTGGAGGAGAGGAGAGCCGATAATCAGCATTCCTCAGAGGGGACTTCTACACTGATCATCAGAGCACTGATGATCAGTGTAGCCCTGTCAGTGCCCATCAATACCACCTGTTACTGCCCATCAAAGCCACATACAAGTGCCCATCAGTGCACATCAAAGCCACTTACAGTATCAGTACCTACCAGTGCATATCAATGCCACATATCACTGCCCATCAGAGCTGCCTTTCAGTGCAGCTATCAGTGTCAGTCAGTGCCGCCTATGAGTGCCAGTCAGTGCTGCCAAACAGTGCCACCTATCAGTGCCAGTCAGTGCCGCCTATCAGTGCTCATCAGTGCTGCCTATCAGTGCCAGTCAGTGCCGCCTATTAGTGCCGCCTATCAGGGCCCATCAGTGCTGCCTATCAGTGCCATATATGAGTGCTGCCTTTCAGTACCCATCAGGTGATGCCTGTCAATGCCCACCAGTGCCACCTATCAGTGCCTCCTCATCAGTGCCGCCTATCAGTGCCCTTCAGTGCTGCCTATCAGTTCCAGTCAGTGCTGCCTATCAGAGCCAGTCAGTGCCACCTATCAGTGCCGCCTATCAGTGCCCATCAGTGCTGCCTATCAGTACCCATCAGTGCTGCCTATCAGTACCCATCAGTGCCACCTATCAGAGCCAGTCAGTGCCACCTATTAGTGCCGCCTATCACGGCCCATCAGGGCCCATCAGTGCTGACTATCAGTGCCATATATGACTGCTGCCTTTCAGTGCCCATCGGTGATGCCTGCCAATGCCCACCAGTGATGCCTGTCAATGCCCATCAGTGCCACTTATCAGTGCCTCCTCATCAGTGCCGCCTATCAGTGCCCATCACTTCAGCCTCATTAGCGCACATCATTGAAGGAGAAAAAATTACTTATTTACAAAATTTTATAACAGAAACTAATAAAACATTTTCAGTCTTTTTAGTTTGTTTAGCAAAAAATAAAAAACCCAGGGGTGATTAAATATCACCAAAGAAAGCTTTATATGTCTAAAAAAGAGATAAAAATGCAGTGTTGCATGACTGCGCAATTGTCATTCGAAGTGCGACAGCACTGAAAGTTGAAAAGTACCCAGTAGGCAAGTGGTTAAAGTGTTACTAAACCCAGGACCCTGCATTCACTATATCTGGTCTCCCACAGTACACAGAACATGGAAATGCAATTATTTTAGTAAATATAAACTTCTAAATACCTTTTCTCATCAGCAGTTAGAGCTGTCTTCTGACTTCTATCAGTGTCCAGCAGAACACTTAAAGCTTGTAGGAGGATTTTTCATTCTCCCCTGCTTGTCCTATTAGGCTGCAGGACCTTTGCCCCTTTGTCTGGACAGTGCAGATTGGCCCTGTGCTGATCACATGTACCCTCTCAAAAAAAAAAAACTTCTCTGGCAATACACACCAAACTGAGCATGTGCAGCTTGCCCCCAATGCTCTGTTCTAGCAGCGGATAGAATGGGCACAATAGAAAAAGGAGAGGATCAGCAAAGACAGGATCAAACATCCTTTTTACACAATGTGGAGGATTAACCCCTTAGGTTCCACAGCAAGTATACCACACATGATTTACTGCATATACAGACTGATTTTACTGTTGTGGGTTTAGTAACACTTTAATTCTACTCAATGCTAATTTTTGACCTGGGAAGGATCAAAAAAGACAGGATCAAACATTCTTTTTACACAATGTGGAGGATTAACCCCTTAGGTTCCACAGTGAGAATAACAAGCATGCTTTACTGCATATACAGACTGATATTACTGTTGTGGGTTTAGTAACACTTTAATTCTACTCAATGCTAATTTTGGACCTGGGAAGGTCCTTAAGTGTATAAACATATAGAAAAACACCAGGTACTAGGAGTAATAGGTACTATTGCTCATGGTTTCTTTCAGACAGGCAGTTGGGGGGATGGTAAAAATGAGTGGCTGAGCAGCCCTCGGCAGCCCATCCAAAAAGTAGCATAACAGCAGGAATAGGACTGTTCACATGCCTCGGCTGCAATGCTTTGCTTCATGGGCCACGGCATTTTTAACTCAGGGTGCAGAGTTTGACAAGCAGTGCAGCTCACCCACTGAGTTCAGCTGGGCCAGATCACAATACATTCAATGCATGGGATTGAGGAGCAGTAGTACAACATTATAGGGTTAAATCAAGAGGAGGTGTTATGTCACCTCCTCACTGCCTGTTAAATGCCCTCTGAAAAGCACTGCGACTGGAAGGAGAGAGCCTGAGATTGGTACAGCGGGGATTACCAGTGATCCTAACCTGGAAGGATGAACAGGTGCGCGACTCCTGGGATTTGCATCTTGCAAGCGCTAACACAGGAAGAACTTGGCTGGATAGCAGAATGGCGGGAGAGTGTCGGGACGTCTTCCAGGCAACGCTCTTCCGTCAAGACTCCCTACTGTACCAATCAGCTCCTCAGGCTCTCTCTGTCCACTTCTTGCAGCTCTCCAGAAAGACATCTGTCTTCAGTGCTTTGAGAGGCATGCTGACAACGAAGGCATTGAGGGCCTGACAGGGACAGTCAAAGGGCCGATGTGGCCCTGGGGCAACAATTTTCCCAGGTCTGTTCAAAATAATGGATGTGAGGCAGGTGAGGCAAGGTAAGATCTATCAAATGTCATTTTGTTTAAAATTCAGTGATCAACAGCCCCAATGACCTATGGCTTCAAAATGTAACCTTCCAAGCTTTTAGGTTACATATATAGCTTACCTATAATCATTGACTTAAGGACGCTCAACTGGTCTTCCACAATTTCTAGTTTCCAGTTCCATTCTTATGTGCAGCCTTAGAAATAAAAATTACAAATTGTTATATCTTAAGGATAACTCTGAAACCTCTTTTAATGCCGTTATTGTGACAATGACATTATAACATGACAGATTAATCTTTCAACAAAAAGCTTTTCAATGCGTCATTTTCTGATACTTCATCATGTAATTATGATTTATATACTTGGGTCTTTTTGAAGGGAAAAAAAAGTTATGTAGCCCACAGTGACCATTTAACTGTCATTTTCTGGCTGATTGACAGCCCAGGGTCAGCACCATTTTACATCTTTTTACTATTTTTCGGAAATATGCTAAGCTTATATGTGAGGTTATAGTTTGCCCTTGAAGATTCATGTAATTAAGATTAGTAGTCTAATGTGGTAGGGTGAAATTAAATCATTCTACTTATCGGCAGCCTGAGTATTGACATTGCATGTAACCTGGGCCATAAATATTACACTCTAGCCATTCGTAAACATGTGTGGGGGGATGACCTACTCATGACAACACACATCTCCTATATAATTCATGGTCAGGGTCTGTAATGTTAGAGCTAAGAGCTTACATCAATGAAGATTGATGCGCTGTTGTCACAAGTGCTGAGTTGCTGATGTACAATCTTTACAGCAATCATTGCACATAGTTTATAAAGGTGCTTTATTTCATCTTTTTTTATTGGGTCACATCTGTTAAACTATGCATAGCGTAACTTTCCAAGGGCACATTTGATCCGATCATGCAAGTTAACAGCAGAAAAGAAAGCATGGTCATGTGGGCCACATAAAGTAGTGAAACCCCATATGTCACCCCTTAGTGAATAGAAGGTCATACTTCCATTACTTTCTATAGAAGCTCCTGGAGGCAAGATAGGTAACTATTGCTAAAATTATGCTACATAAATACTGTAACTGTATGTGGGCAGTTCATAATAACTATAGTATTTGGTAAATTCAGTACCTTTTTTCTTTCACATACCTCTATTTATAATTTTCTGCTCTAGGAACAATCTTCAAGTTCTGGTTGAACATGCGTTCAACCCAAATCCATGTTTGTACACTATTTGGGAAAATGGTGAACAAATCCTGTTGTTATCACTATAGAAGCCCCTTACTAATAATGCACTTCCTGGCATCTGAATTGTGGTCTAGTGGCTGAAAAGGGCCAATAATGGGGATTTTCTAATCTTACAGCCCATTCCCTATAGAAGTTAAGGATCCCAGGGGTGCATGCGTAAAGCGTACCAAGATGGGTGCGATTTGATCCAGCTTTGCTCACCCTTGACACTTCGCCTCCTCTCCCTCTGGCTAGAAGGAGCCCATCAAGTCCCCGCTGGTCTCTGTAGGTATAGGAAGGTGTGGAAAGAGGAATGTAGCAACCGAATGCATGTACTCTTGCGCTGAACTGTGGACTCCCCGCTATGGTGGTCCCCACATGGAAAAGGAAATGTAATGCAGGCCTTGCTGCCCTCAATGGACCAGGAATATCAAAAAGAAACTGTACATAAAAGACAAAAAAGAAGGCACACTGGCCTAGTGCATTACCTTTAAAAATAGGGTTTATTAATAAAAAGTGGATACTCACAAAAATAAAATGGTGTAAAATCAGATAAACGCGGGAAGCATGTCACACTAGATAGCAGTATGGTACAGGAACCCCTGTGGATGGTCTGGTGGGAGACTGGAAGCCTCTGGATAGCAGGTGGCTGACTCGTTTCAAGGAAAACACCTCTTCTTCAGAGCCAATGTGTGTGTGTGCACAACCTGAGACCTCTCTTATATATGGACTGGAAGCTGGTGATAATGGAAGGGGGTACACTCCCAAATGGCGGAAACATCAGGAAGGGGGAGGAGAATGGGAAGGAGGGAGGGAATGGATGTAGGCATGGAATGGTGAACATATGTGGATGGATGATGGTATGGGCAGGTGCTTGGGGGGCTGACAGGGTGGGATGTGTGGAGCCGCCCGGTGAGCTCCAGCGGGAGACAACCCGCTCGTGGCATCTGCAATAGTGTATCTGTCCCCGTGCGTTCCACGGGGACTGGAAGGGGAAGTGTGTGACCCAGTGGGTGGCTGTGCACAAGCGCGAATGAAGGAGCGGCAGGTATGTAGAGTGAGCTGCCATGATATACTGCGCGTGCGCACCCAGAGTGACAGGGACACTCGGAATGCCAAAGCGCATGCACGGACACGTGAAGGCCGGAGTGAGAAGTGTGCCATCTGCCTATACAGTACACACTCAAGAATCTGCAAGATGACAGTGTCATGTGGGCTGAGCCATATACAGCACCAAAGTAGTGGAGGGAAGACTGAAGGAAAAGGGGGAGGGAAGGGGTGACACATGAATAAATATGTAATGTTAATGTTGATAATGGGATTTGGGGAGAAATAATAAAAATGCAAAATGAGTGAATGATGAATGAATATGAATACTATATGAATGGTGTACCATTGCGTAACATATACATGTATTTGTGCACATATACATGCATATTCGCATACATACAGGAATGTATGGGTTGTATCATAAGTGTGGAGTAACGAATGATGGAAAGAGGGACAGGCACACACTACACTGGGATCCCATGTCAGAGCGGACACATGAAAACAATATGATAATAACAATAATAACAATAAACATCATAGCAACCATAACAATGACAACATCAATAACAATGG